GTAAATATATAAATTTCAAAAAAAATTGACTGTTATCCCAACTGCAAAAAGTTTTATTTTTATTTGTTTTTAAACAAAAAATATTTAAATCAATATTATTTTCATATCCTGTGTTAGCAATGAGGATCCAAGGTAAATTTCTCATACCACTGATTTCAATTCAAGATGAAATTTAAGATACTCAACACATGCTTTACTTAGCCAGAAATTAATTTAAGAAAATTTAATTACTGAGGCATTTTATTTAAATGTTAGTATAGTAACACAAGTAACTTTAAATTGATAATGAACTGACTCCATTTTTGAAGTCAGAAGCATCTGATCATATTTGTATAAGTAATCCACATATCTGACCACACTGGAGCTAAAGAAGAAAAGGTAATAAAAAACAACAGCATCAACAATTAGATTTATGATTTATAATTATGTACCTGTCCCTCTGTTACGCACTTCATAAGAATTATTTCAATTATGAACTAATTTTGGAACAAAGAATCAGTGTATTTTAGAATATAAATGTACAATAAAGTAAAAAGACTTTTTAAAATCATAAAATTACATGACCCTTTAAATTTTTTCCTTTAAATATGAAAACAAAAGTAAGATATATGAAAATGTTTTAGAATCTAGTTCATGCACTTGATACAAGTGTTTTTAAAAGACAAAACAAATTAAATAGAGGAAGCAAGGAATATTTTAAAGATGCAATATAAAACATTTAATTTCAAAGATAAAACATCTTACCAGAGAACAACATGTGTGTGTGTGAACACACATGTACATACATATGCAATCAATTAATATTTCATAATATAATGGCATATTCTATTTCTGCTTATCTGAATCTTTTTACCTCTAGAAATAATCCTTCCCTCCATCTCCCATGGTCCAGATTTTGGAAAGATATTCTATTGTACTTAGATACACACATGACTACTTAGCACACATGGTCACTTAACTTTTTCATTTCACCCAAATTAGAAAAAAATGTATAATTCAAATTTGAAATCACATTGAGGAACATCATATATTAATAACAACAAAAGATCATAATGTATTGAAATCTTTGGGAAAATGTTACTTCAAAATACAAACATTCATCTCAAAGTAATTATTATTATAACACACACCAGTTAATAAAATGTGAGCTAACTTAACCTTTGATTAATTGGGGAAATTTTTTTTTTTTTCAAGAAAGACAGTTCCGTGATTTTGCTGCTAAGACAGCCAGCAGATGTTTGCCTCACCTAAAGAGAATTTATCTTCCTCAGGAGACAACAGCTTAAACGGGAAACAAATAGCCATATGCTGACTGTGCACTGCTTAGCAAATGACGTAGAGAGCCATATTCCACAGTGGAAAGCATAAGGGTTAAGGTTCAAATTAATTTTTCTTAAAATTCAATTCAATTACCCAAGATTATATTACTTATTAAATATAAGTTGTGTCAAAGAACTTTTGTGCCTGGCATAAAATGGAGTTCTAAATTTTATAATCAGTAATGCTGGGTATGGGAGAATAGATCCATAAATGATTTCCATTAAGTAGACTCTCAAATAGATCTAACACAAAACAAAGAAAAAAATTTGCTTGCAAGGCCATGGTAAAAACTGGATTTGAAACTGAATTAAATAGTGAGTTTTCACAAATCTTAGTTACAGGAATATTTTCTAAATGTTCCAATTCAATGTCCCCACTAAGTTATATTATTCTTGGTTTAGACACATAAATATTAGAAAATAAATTTTTAAAATGTACCTGTAAATAGGAGTTCTTTTCCTTTACAGATATAAACTTTCAAAAATTTCAGGTAGAAACTTTAGGTAAATGACTACTATATTTCTCAGCATTTTAATTTTTAGACTTTATAATTTGGTCAATCTATTTAACCACATCAAAACTGAGTTTTCAAGAACAAGGGCTACAGCTTTTACACGTGGCAAGGATCTATACCAAAAGGTCGGCCAGTGCCTTACATACTGTGTCTAACCTGGTTATAATTGGAATTCAAATAAAAATAAAAAATCCTAATTATGAACAATAAATGCAATTCTTTTGGTGCATTATTTAAATTTAAATAAATATTAACACAATATACAAAAATATGTTTATATAGAAACAAAGGTAGTAAATGATATTCATATTTTTTTCAATGTTTGAGAAATTGACAATTGTTAGAAACCAAGAAATCCAGCTATTATTACAGCTGTAAAACTTGGTTTAAAGACAAATAAAACACATGTTTTTAAAAGAATTACCTATTATTGTACTGTAAAAGTTGCCTCAAGACACTTTTGTTAATGCTATTATTTTGGGCTACAGCTTCACTAAGAAATTTGATGCACTCTTTGCCTTCCTGTGTCTGAGCCTTTGGGAAGAATATGGATAGTTCTCATTGAACTTCTGATAACTAAGCTAAGGAAATGTTTTTAAAAAGTGATAAAGTGATTTCCAGGGGAAAAAAATTTTTTTAATATAACAGTACTTTATAGATTTAACCTACATTAAATATAATCTGTTTCTTTGTCCCCTCCCCCAACACATAGGTTAGTTATGTAACATACATAATCTTCTGATTTGAGGACAAAACACACTTAAAAATGGTGAATGGACTGCAACCACTGCCTAAAATAACTTAAGCACATATGAATTCAATTACTACATATCTATTTGTATTATGTTGAAGCATGAATTTAATAATAGTTTCTAAATTTTTTAAATACACAAAACACATTTTAACTCGAAGCATTTATTTTATTCCACATAGCTATCTATGTCCAAATAATTAATGTATCTAAAAACCTTGCCTTTAATTATTACAATTACAATAGTATAAAACTATTAAAAACAAACACTATTCAGTTTTTTCAAGATTTTAAATAATTATTATCACTAATAAAGATCCTTATTAAACTATCCTTATTAATATCAAGCTATATTTGATAAATATACAATTTCTCCCTTTTCATGTATAAGAAATAATGGTGAATATGATCTTAAAGTATTTTTTTAAATTTATCTTTATTGTTGAAAGTATTATAGTTGTTCCCTTCCTCCTCCCTCAATTTATTCAGTAAATTATAATATTCTTTTTTTCTCTGGAGCTTGAAAAAAATTTGGAGGTATAATGAGGTACATCACACTAAAATATGTGGATTATGCCGTATTGAGAAACTACATATTGAGGAGGGACCAAGATGGCAGCATAGGTAAACGCCTGTACTCATCGGCTCCCACAACCACATCAAAGTTATAACTAGAATGCAGAACAACCAGCATTTAGAACTGCCTGAAATCTGGCTGAATGGAAGTGCTACAACTAGAGAAGTAAAGAAAGTACACTGAGACTGGTAGGAGGGGCAGAAGCAAAGAACCGCTGGCCCAGCACCCATGTGTGCAGAGTTCTTTTAATTGGGAGGAAGATCATCTCTGCAGAGGCCGCCCATGAGGAGCCCCACACCAGACCCACAGCCCAGGGCTCCAGAGCTTTGAAAAGAAGTCCCAATAACTTCAGGCTGTAAAAGCCAGTGGGGACTGTGGCTAAGGGACACAGAGGCTGATGTCCCTTAGCCACAGTTGTTTTTCTTAAAAGGCTGCACAGGAACTTACAGTCTTACTTCTTCTGAGTTCCAGTGCCAGGTGGTGGCTTTGGGGATATCAGGAACATATGAGGAGGAACTGGATTTTCTGGCATCAGGGCAAGAATTCGGAGGCAGCTTTCTCACAGACAGAGGTACTCACAAGGGTCATTATACTTGTGCTGAGACCTCTCGCCAGTGCAGAGCTAACTGGCAGCCATATCTGAATTTCCATCAGCATTGCCCACATGTTCACTCCACCCTGGTAATTCTCTGAGACCCCGTCCCATCCAAACTGCAGCCCCATATGAAAATCTGCTTTCCCTTACAAATGGCCTATCCTGGCTCAGGCTCCAGACTTTACTAAAAATCTCTTAAATAAGCAGCAGGTAGAGTCAGCAAGCCCCAAACCTACCCAAAAATGGCCCAAGCCTCAGCACGAGCACCAGCTTGCCTTGCTTCACAGCTGGGCTTTGCCTATGTACTTCCTAGCCCGATATAAATTGCAGCCATCTACAGATCTCTCTTTAGCTCCTTCAGGGTGACCCCAAGCAGTTGCTGATTTTGCACCACCTAGGAGGCCCTAGAGCCAGTGCACTTGGTAGACAGCCTCAGAACATATCAGATAACAACTCTACATATCCACAAATGACACATGCAAGGGGCACATTATGTGAGCACCAAAGCTCCATTGAAGCAAGTCCTGCTCCACAGAGGTGTCTCCAGCACAGTAGTTCTTCCATTGTAGACACAGCTGGTCCTCAAAGACAACTGGCCTGGATGTCAAGTCCTCCAAGGGAGTTGCAAGAAATACTCAAAGCGATGAACAGCAAGGACCTATTACCAAGATTACTCTACCCAGCAGAGCTATCATTTATAACTGAAGGCCAGATAAAGAGCTTCACAGATAAAATACAGCTAAAGGAGTTCATCATTTAAAAAATATGAGGCATATACATCTCTGGATATAGCTTACCAAAAGTATAATTGATTTCTAAAAATTAGAAATTGCTTAAAATCATACTTTACAATACCAATTAAAAGCATTTCTCTCAATGAAAACTATCCCACACTATTCTTAAAAAAACAACAACATACTTATATTCAAAATATTTAAGATTAACAATGGAGGGGGATGAATCAACTTCAGTGCAAATGGTCAACAGAAAACAGCTCCAAATAAAATTTTTTAAAAAGTAAAATATTTCACCAAATATGTATAAATTAAGCTTGAATAACAGCTAGAATGAGAAACATGATAGTAAATTCAGATAAAGAGTGGATTGTATTCATATGCAAATCTAGGGATTTTCCTGCAGTAAAGCTGGTGACACAGGTTTGATGGCTGTAATTGCCCTTATCACTGAAAATGATCCCACTCTGCCATCCCATCAAGAAACACAGAAAGCCCCTTTTACTTACTGGCTACTTCCAGCGATGCATTGTGGCTCACAGCCTCGCCGAGGTAATTCCGCGCTACACAGATGTAGACCCCTTCATCCGGCCTACTTTTCCGTCCATGTACAATTCGTAAGAAAAATAAAGATCCACTTGGCAGCAACATGCGGTGTGAGCGAGGGTCATCTTTGTCCGTCTCCACTCTCTCCCCACCTTTGTACCATTCAATAGTTGGTGTGGGGCGGCCCTCAGCTTTACAGTTCAAAGTTGCAGGTTCTCCTTTTGAGACAATTAGGTCTGAAGGGTGTTCAACAATGCGAGGTGGAAAATCTTCCTGACGAAGACGGGAGCCTGCAGAAGAAATGACAAAATAGCTTCGTATTATCCCTTGAAAACAATAAAGGTCTTATTACAGAAGACTGGGCATTAGCACTGTTGTTTAAGCACTGGGTTCTATTAAGCCATGTGCCTGCCCTCTTCACTAACTAATCCTTCAGGGGGCCACCTTAACACCTTGCAACTCCTGACTCTTTTAGTCCCTCCATTTAGTTCATACAAACACTGCCTGCTCTTCAAATCTCTTGTCCACAAATCCTCTCAGAAGCCATCATCCTGTTGGTACCATTTATATGCCTGCTTTTGCAGAGGAAGGTGTTAGAGAATTGTTGAGTATTACAAAAAATGGCATGACTTCTTGAAGTTTCCTTTTTAACTCACATCAGTCAGCACTTAAACAAAACATGCTATATACTACTAGTGAGCATTTATATTCAAATATATGGTGAAACTTTTTATAGAAACTTTTATATCTTTCTAAATAATACAAGTATATAATACAAATAAATAATACTGTATATATACATTTTCTGTCTTTATTAATAAGTTCATTGCTCTACAATAACTATGTTGACATTTTAATAGACTTCAAAGATGAAATGTCATCCGAGACCAGTTTGGCTCAATGGATAGAGTGTCGGCTTGGGGACTGAAGGGTCCTGGGTTCGAGTCCGGTCAAGGGCATGTACCTTGGTTGCGGGCATATCCCCATTAGGGGGTGTGCAAAAGGCAGCTGATGGATGACTCTCTCTCATCGATGTTTCTGGCTCTCTATCTCTCTCCCTTCCTCTCTGTACAAAATCAATAAAATATATATTTTTTTAAAAGATGAAATGTCAAATAATTGAGTTTAAATAATTAAATATAATATTAAATGCTAAAGGATATTGGGTGAGGAGCTATAATACATTCTAGAGCCCATGCATTACTAAATGAAGTCCTAATAATACGTGCCATTTAAATATTTTGTGTCTATACCTTATTTTCCCAATGAGATTATAATCTCTAAAGCAAGGAATGAGTTTCACATTTTTAATACTCCTACCTTATTGCTACCATTGATAGATTTAATGAGTTAATTTCTTAGAGATTTCTCAAATTTAAAAACCCAACTTAAATTTAGTTGTGCTCCAAACCTATTATCATCTAATGTTCCAATCTCAATGGAAAATGAAAATAAAGAAAAAAATTCTTCCTTGATATAATAACTCCCTTCCTATCACCTCATCCTCCCCCAAATTCCTCAAATCAATCTACTCATCTCCATCTCTACAGGCAGCTATCATCCCAGATCAAGCTCCTATCAATCCCACCAGGATTTAGGAAAGCTCTTAAATGGCTTTACTTCAATATAGCCATCAAGGCTTTGAAATGTAAATACAATCTGGGTCCTCCACTATTTCAATGGCTCTTAAAATAAACCCATTGCACTTAAGATAAAGTCCTTAACAAGACCTACAAGAGCCAGACTGTTCACTCCCTATCTAGTTCTCCAGACTCTTCCTGTCCCATCCCCTTCTCTGCCTTCTTTGCCCCAATCTTCTGCTAGCTCCACAAACATTTTGAGCTGCTGCCAGTCACAGAGTCTGCCTGCCACAGGTTCTGAGCTTAAAATGATCTTTTCCTAGTTTATATCCACTTTCCTTTCAAATCCCTGGTCTGCCTGATCTCTACCACAATTCAAGGTTCCTTTTATAAACCCAAGTAACAGTGCATGACTATCCTTGGTAAGAGTGATCAGAATTACAGCTTTAAATACTATGTCTTTTGCATCTCACTCTGTAAGATCTGTGGGTCTGATTCTGTTCAGTTGCTTCTTATACACTTGGCAGAGTGCTGAGAATACTACAGATAATCAATAGGTGTTTGTTGGATAAGTAAAAAAATGAATGAAGTGCTGACAGGAAAAGACCTATTTGAATGGAATGTTCTTAAGCTTAATAAAGCTTTTTATAAAGAGACTTAAAAGAATTTACTTTTTTAATTGTAACCAAAATGCATACTATTTAACCTTTACTAGACTCTAAGTCCTGCATGGGGCTTATTTGTATCTTTAATTTTTGACTGATGCAATTAACATTTTTATTAGTGAAATAAATGATAAAACTAAAAGATCTATCATTTGCTTATGTCTACCAAAGGAAAAAAATGAATATGTGTGCACAGGGGAAGTACCCCTCAGCCTAATCTGTACCCTCTCCAATCGGGGACCCCTCAGGGATGTTTGACTCACAATCCTGAACCGCTGGCTCCTAATCACTCACCTACTTGCCTACCTGGCCGACCCTAACTGCCCTCCTGCCAGCCCCCCTCTCACTGCCTCTGCATGCCAGCCTAGTTACCCTTTACTACCCTCCCCCTGCGAGCCTGGTTGCCTTCAAATGCACCCCTATGCTGGCCTAGTCGCCCCACGTAGCCTGCTTGATCAGTCATTTGGTCATCCCTCACTAACCCCCCAACTGGCCTGGTTGTAGGCAACCATCTTGTGAGGGTTTGAGGGTTAATTTGCATATTACCTGTTTATGATATAGGATGTCTAATAAACAAAAATGGACAAATAGCTTTAGCTCTATGCATGATATACTGCATAAGTTCTTTAAATAAAACCAGGCTCTAAAAGTGGATAAAATAAATCAGCAACTTGAGAAAAAAATACAACTTAGAAAGTCATACTCTCTCAAAAAGGTTATATTAAATTCAAATTAGATTTTAAATTATTCAATTATAAGTGTTATAAAACTTCAAAAAAATAACGTGTTATATAAAGTACTGGCTACTGCTTTGACTGTAATTATGAAAGGTGGATATTAATTAGTATTAACTGTTGAGGTAAGATATGTTCAATTTAAACAAATTTTATTTTTAGGGTTTATGTTTGCTTGTTTCTTCATCCTTACCAGAGGATATTTTCCCAAAGATGTTTAGAGAGAGTAGAAGGGAGGAGGGGGAGACACACAGTGAGAAACATCCATGTGAGAGAGACACATCAGTTGGTTGCCTCTCACACTAACCCAACCTGGAGCCAGAGATCAAGCCTGCAACCAGGTACATGACCTTGACTGGAATCCAACCCTAGACCCTTTATTTCGAAGGCCAACACTCTATCAAGCCAAACTGGCAAGAGCAGCAAATTTTACATTCAATTCTGTAAGTCCATTTCAGATAGGAAATGAGGGTGCAGAGGTTGCTATGAAAACACAAAGAAAGGACACTTAAGACTACTTGAGCAAGTCAGCAGAGAAGGCAAGGCATCCTGAGATATGAAACTTGAGCCTCAGAAAAAGAATCAGGAAGAAAAGAAAGGAGATAATTTCATTCAAAGGCACAGCAACAAAAGTATATGGTGCACTTGTTAACTCAGACCTGCAGGTAGGTTAGTATGGCCTCAGTGTAAGGTTCATGTCAAGATTAGAAAGAATGTGCCTGAAGAAGTAGCTAGAAGCAATAATGTAATGTGATTTATACATCAAGTCAAAGTTCTGGAACCAACTGAAGACAATGAGGACATTTAAATATTTTAAGGAAGGGGTCACATGCTCAAGTTTGATTTTAAAATGCTCGCTTTTGGTAGTATGAAACTTGTACCTTAGCAGGATACGCTAGGAAGGGATTAGTTAGGACAATTTTATACTCTTCAAGCAATAAATTCCAAAACTTGGAATTGGATATTGACAGAGGGAAAATAACAGGAAGAATCTAGAGATATTTAGAGAGAACATCATCAGGATCTATTCATTGGCAATGTGTGGAGAATGAAGATTAAAATGCACAGGATGGAGAGGCAAGGGGCAGGGAGGTTTCAAGTTTCTGATCTGAGCAATGGATGAAGGGTAGTCCCAATGAGGGTGGAGAATGGAAAAGTGGGCTTGGTAAGAAAAACAAGTGATGATTTATTCAGTAAGAGACATGAAGCATCTAGAAGTACTTCTAGAATATTCAAATGGAGATGACAAGTTGCCAACTGAGTGAATATCCAAATTTGACCTCAGCTGGAATTGTAGATGAGAATCAAGCTAGAGACTGAAAACATGGGAGAGAATAAAACCATCTAGGAAGATTGTATAGAGCAGTAACAGCCAATTATAGAAGCTAGAGGTCACCCAGACTCCAGGAAGTGCAGGGGAGCTCATGTCTCAAGACCTAACCTACAGTCACACAGAGCTGGACCTCAGCCAGAAGGACTTCTGGGAATTAATTCAGCCCCAAGTTTTCACTATGATTTTTGTAAAGCAGCACTTAGTAGAAGAGTTTCAACAATAAAAGCTAAATTATATTCCAATAAAGGCTAAATTTTCCAAAACACCCTTTGAAATATTCTTTCCTCAAATTGTTAATAGGTATTGCTCAAAAAAAAGAGTTGCAGGGTCTATATAGTCTAGCTAATATACATTATGATTAGCCAAAAGACAGGTATAATATATAGCCTTTCTCAAACTAGGTTAGCCATTGAACTCTTTTTTATATTTATAAATACCTTGTTACCACAATAATCTGAAGAGAATGAATAGGTTTAGCAAAAAATGAATTGCTTAGAGCTAATAACTTTACAAATCATAACAATAGAAATAGAAATTTCACATTTCTCATAAAGTTTAACCTTCAGGAAAAAAACTTTCCAATTCCTGAGTGATATTTATGAGTGGCTAGTCAACCTCAATAATAAAAATTATAAATTGCAGTCATCATCGCTTTGAAATCTACAATAATTTTTATTTATTATCAAGTCTAAGCAGATAAAAATGAAATAAGAAAACTAATATTAATTATCCATCATCTCCTTTAGCACTATAACATCTTTATGGGGTAGGTGTTGTTATATCTGGTGTCCATATGGGGGAACTGAGACTCTCAGCCATCATACAGCTGGAAGGTGGCTGTGCTGAATTTAATCCTAGTGAAATTCAAAACCCTTGTTTTCTCTCGTTATTCCATAAATACTGCTAGGATTAATATGTTAAAATATAGCAAGAGCCATGCTTTGTCCATTCTTGTTTCAAACAATGGTAGTGTTAAGT